TCATGATGTCCTCTACAACAAGCATTTTAAGAAGAAATTTTTTTACTATACTTTTGATGCATGCTAGTTACCGAAGATTCCGCCCTCGTTCTAAACATACGCCGCCAACTCCGTCAAACTAGGTCATGGCGTGTACTAGCGCAGGACGGAGGTGGTGAGGTTTTCATGGCTCCCATAATTTGACAGGCTACCATCATAATGGAAACCTTGAAAGGATTCAAAAGTTCGCACTCAGGGGAAAGTAGGTGAATACGCTCCCCCCTTGAGTTACCATCTCCCTTCTGGGTATCGCAACTTAGATAGCGGTTTTACGTCTTACGGCTTTTTTGTGCTCTAAAATTTTTTTCATTGGCATATGGATAACCACATAGCCCGACACAGGCTCAGTCAGTAGTCAAACGTTAGCTATAAGTGCCATAAACGCCACATAATGTAAATATTTACAAATGAAATCGGCATAAATAACATAAATTATACGCTTCAACAAAACCTGGTCTGCTTACTATACAGAAGTATCACTTGAGATTACATCAACCAAGCAATGTCCGTCAAGACAAAGGATCAAGTTCAACGAAATCCTTATCATAGACCATGGCTTCCAGGTCGGGATCAAGTTCAGGGAGTTCGTCAGTTAACGACGTGAAGTCTTCGAACTCCTCTGCAGGCGAACCTCCATCACGGGCCGGTTTTTCCGCCTCAGCCGGAGGTGTTTCACCTTCCCGAAGCGGACTTTGTATTTCGATTTCAAACTGATCCTCGATGATTCGTTCCGGTGTTCCGAAAACAACATTCTCGCTTTCGCCAGTTCCATTTTCGTCAATTTCGTCACGGGAAGGAGTCTTTCTCTCTGAAATTCAGTGAACTTTGACTTTGAACGGATGCTGACATTGAATTGTCGTGGGCTGATTACCGTCTACGAGGCTTATCAAGCTTATCACTCATGGATTAATTTTGAACGTTTGCATGTATGCTGGCATTATGGTGGTTGCACAGGTTTACTTCCAAACGGGGACATAAAAATTGGAAAAAAGGATGTGTGTACCCAAATGACCGGATATGCCATCGAGAAACCAAGGAATCCTTCCGAGACATTTCGTAAGAACGGTTTCTCCTTCAAAATATAATTATAGTTCTTCACCCCTCAAAAACGTCAAACTTCACCTCAGTTGGCAAAATTAGGCATATGAGCACCTTCTGAGCAGCTTATCCGTTACCGTGATTGTGGTTGTAAGGAAAAAAGAGAAGGAGTGCTAGGCAGTTACTCAGAGGGCCATCCAGAAAAGTTTCAAACACTCCGAAAAGCGTCCGGTGTACGTCTCGCCAACAAAAATCAGTCTTGCCATAAGAACAGGGGGGGGGGGGGGGGCAAGAGCTCCACAACAGTTTGTCTGGGAACGCTCATTCTATCCCTACCTTACGACAAAGGGTTAAGAAGTTAGCACTTTGACATAAGCTTGCTTTTGCTCATCCGAAACTTCACTCTAACAGGGAAATCCAATAAATAATCGTGAATCGATTTGAATGGGGTTGAAATTTACGAAAAGCTGTTGTCTTTATGAAAAAGAGAATTACGAGAAAAGTATAAGGCGCTCACGAAATCTGAACTGAAAGGTGATTTCCGCTGTTTTTTTGATTGCTTTCAGAATAAAGGGCACGACCCGCGTATTGGAAAGCACCGATTTACCCGACGTTGAGGCACAGCAGAACCTGAAAAGGAATTGTCAGGAATCAAAGTCAGACGGCATGCTCTGAATATTGTCTTCTCATTAAAAGGCTATTTCTAGGTAATTGCGGCTGTTTACTTACCAACTTGGCTTAACTTCAGAGCATGAACTCTTCGATAACTTGGGTTCATCCTGGTCATGAGGCTTGAGGTCTCCAACCTTCTCCTACAACTACTCTGCACTATTTTCGGGGCGAATTTGAGAAGTACTAGAGTTGAAAACCAGAACAGAGACTTTATTTTGCCTCGAATTTTTCTAGAGAGAAGAACTTTTCGTTTTGCACCTTTTCAGCTATCCCGCTTGCAATCTCAGCGCAAGCAGCGACTTGCAAAGCGGGCAGAACAATAGCAATAAGACAGTCGGTAAAACAATCAGTGGACGAGTTGTTCTATAGTTCTCTAGTTTTTCCGACAAAGACTCGTTTCGTAGGTGGCAAGGGAGTAACAGAAATGATTGTTTCAGATCCTTATGAGATTCTGGCAGAATTGAGGTAAGCCATTAGTTTACTTCATTTACTCCATTTACTTCATGGCATGCACCTTGTGCCTATGTGTGTTACCCACAGGAAGCTGCTGAACAATGCCCTCTATTTGCCCTCGAAATGATAATATTTACAGCTTTAAAGACCTGACTCGTATTGCAAAGTCATCATACTGTAATCGGGTATACACAGACTACAAATCACATTCCTACAACTACACTTTGGAACTAGCCTTCCCATTGAGGTCACTTATGTAATTTGGCGAATTGCATGCCATTAACCTTGTCTACCACGAAAAACGTTCATGTTCTATGAACTTTGGCTTGGAGTGCAGGAAAAACTAAAGTCCAATGTCGTGTAGACTGTTTAAGGCCTAATTTGAGCCCGGCTCGACAATACTAGTACGGAAGCCGTAGTTGTTGGTAAACACTCATTGAGATAAGAGGTGGTAACTAGAAGGTATTCAAAAAAGGAGACGAGTGTTTCTGCTCTCTCTGAAGTAACCAGATTTGACACCTTTAGTGTTTTTGTTGCTTCCGACGTTTGTCAATTGTCAGCGGAAAATCGTGAATTGTCATCATTAGACAGTTTTTTTTCTGTTACCGTTGGAAGATGCAAGGTACGATTAGGGTGTGGGTTGGAAGAGACCCTGTCCCTTAATTGTTAAGACTTCACGTTCTTTGAAGGGACAGTTCACTCCGTGCAAAGTACAATGACGCTAAGGATAAAGAAAAACATCCAAAAAACCTTGGGCGTAGAACCATCTTTGAACTAATCATTTGCAAATCTGGGCGCGATTATGACGACGAAGAAGTGTTTGGACGAGATTTGGGTATATCAACTTGTGCATCATCTGACTACACTTTCAACAAACGCGCTCCATTCCGAATTACACCAACCTCTCCAAGGCCGCTAAACACGTCCATTTTTGGGAGTATTGAGCGGCAGTGGTGTCAGGTGCAGCTGTGTAGTCCTTTTGGGGCCTCAAACAGGGCAGTTTCGGATTCGACTATTTCATCTCCTGTCATCTCATTACCCCTTCCATTAGGATTTCTCCGGAAGCATCCAATCGCGATGAGGTCCTGGAAAGGAACTTTGTTCTCTGCAAATATTTCCTGCGCCTTGACGACTCGGACCTTGAACCACCGCACGATGCTGATAAGAATAGGATTCGTATCAATGCCACCACCTCTTCAGTACTAATCCAAGCTGATAAAAATTATCAGTAGCGACTTAATTCTCAACCTTCGCACCTACGCTTGCGTTACGATTCAATAGAAATCTTTTATCTTGCAAAGGAAAGCTGGTTACCTATCAAAAAGGGGTTTTTGGAAAAAGGAAAGGGTTTTCTCGTGGCTGAGTACACGTTTGGGGCGTGGTTACCTGAAATGGGCGGGTCTACCTCAGTTTGCTCATGCAACTCCAATAAGCCGCTGTCTTCTGTAAATAATTTCATCCCGTAAGGTGTTGATAGGGCCGAGGTGGTGTAGTGGCAAGTGGCGCACTATATCACGGTCAGGGGTTCGAATCCCAGATCGATGCCCGCCCAGGCCAAGCAAGCCTTCCATCCCTCCGGGGTCGGTTAATTGGTGTCAGACTCATCTGGGAGGATAAAAGCACTGACTTGTACACCGGCTGGCCACCGCAAGTCATTGTATAGGCCACATACGCACTCATTACGCCACTACGATTCTGAATGGAAGTCGAGTGCGGGGGCGTATCCCTCAGACGGGATTGATTAACGCCAAGAACTTTATCTTTTTTATCTTTAAGGTGTTGATGGCTAGTGATATTTTACTTTGGTCTCATGATCTCGAAAGTTTTTCTCCTTTGCCAACCAAGAAATTGACACCTCAAGTGATTCATAGGCATAAGGTAAATATTGTAGCTGTGGACCTTGAATGTAAGTATTTTTAAAAAGAAAATTAAGGTATGATTCACCGACCTGTTGCCGGTAATTCGTCTATCAGCTCGGACCTTGAACTCTGCCGCTTCTCTCCAACATCCCGGTAAACAAGTGGCTGTTACACTTTCGACTGTCAAATGTACACGAGTGTTTTTAGGAGCCTGCAATAACTAGTTCATGCACAAATTGTCTGACTCAATTGAATAAATGGGAGATAAAAGATAGAGGATTCAAGGATCCCGTGCTAGGATATATCTGATGCACCGTGAGTAGGCAGCCCTTAGCGAAGGGTGAAAAAAGGTGATTAATCTGTGGAGTGGGTGAATAATTTCAGGGATGAGCCCATGAATTTCCATATTAATGAACCCACGAAATAGGGTTATACGAGGTAGGTACACCTTCAAATAATAACTAAGTAAGGATCCGAGAAGCCAAGTATAAGGAACTTCGAAAAACTTTTGCCCTTAGTAACCCTCTTCCCTCCTTCAGAGCCGACGACGATTGTATCAGAGTCATAGTATATTCTGGAATGGTAATAGTGTTGTCAGATTGGCAAGGTACTTACAATTACATGAAACACGCAAGTGCGTGGCTTAGCAGCCCGTGGAGCAGGCACAATTTTCACCCGAATTCGTTTTGGCTTCTCTGTTGCATAAAGTTTGCGGCCACATCGAGGAATAGATGGCGCTTGCATACTTCCACAGAATCGTCCACCATAACCCAAGGGGCATCTGGAAAAATAGCTGATCAGTAATCAGACTTTGGAATTTTGTTTTCGCGAATTGGGTTCAGACAGAAACTGACTTGCATATGCGACAGTTTCGGGGATTTTGATATCCTCCGTTGAAACACCGGATTCTTTTCTTGCAACGACCTGAAAATAAACATGCATTCAATAAACATAAACATTCCCTCCAGGAACTGATGAAAATAGTGATTTTTGAGATTTTTCTGGAATAGAAAGGGTAGGGGAACGGGATTGAGGGACTCTTCTGGGAAAGGTATCGTACTAGCGATCATAGTGTCCGGCTGCTCTACTTTTGCCCGAGCTACTCCCACGGAATGAGTCTTTACTGGAATGTCGCTAAAAGTGTAATTCAAATGAGTGCAGGAACAACCTACAAATCATTGAATACTGACCATCGAACTGCCAAAGTAGAGGCCAGTCACGTTATCAAAAAAGAAAAAGCCCAGATTCCTTTCACGCGGTAGAGGAGCCAAAAATCCAGGATTACGTAGCGCTTTTCTCAAGAGGCATGTCAGTAGCGAGACAACTAGCAAAGATTCATACTGCCTTGGTAGAAGAATGGGAATAACGCGTGTCGACCATATTAATCCATGAAAGGTTCAGACCAAAAAAAAAAGGCTCTAACCTAGACATTTGTAGTGTTTATTGAGTAAAAGAATGTCATGGAATGACGGTCCTGCTAATTGTCCCATATTTGCCTGCTCGTTGATATTCTTAGCAACCATCGAGGGTACGTTGGGATCCTTGGAAAACCTTAATCCATTTCATATTAACGTTTCATCGGAAATCGGAAACCAAAGGGAAGGAGAATGGGAGGACGACGTACTCGAAGGGAGTATAGTGCATAACGCTTCCGATGTCATACGCTGTACCATAAGTCGCCATTTGCCGGCGGCCTACCTGGAACGTTCCAACCTGACTTGGAACCTCACCATCGAAATAATCTAACAAAAAAAAACAAACAAATAAAAGAAAAACAAAACAATCGAAAAACCAAATCGGCGAAAAGGCTGTAGCAACTCACCTTAGCGTAGTTATAAAGCAGTGATCGAGGAACTCTCTGAGGGTATACTGTAATCCAGTTATCCCGGTCAAATCGGGATTGCTCATGAAACAAGCCCAGAGCATGTGCGACTTCATGAGAAGAGACCCCGAACTGTAAGAGATACGGTAGGGACCATAGCAAGTGGAGACAGCTGGGTGGTTCCTTTACACCTTTGGGATAAGGCTCGACTCACCGGCTCACATCCAGGTCCGATGGAAATAAGCTGTTGCCCTTGCCATGCGGCTCTTCCTACCGTACTCCAGCAACCCTCATCATGTCCGGTAAACAATAAATAAACCTGGAAACAGAGCCGCAATTTTTCAATGTCTGAATGCGTGAATTGATCTTACCGGCTCCCTCTTTCGTCGCCTGAATTTGATACATGTGTGATGTCTGAAAAATTGAATTGAAGCCAGTACTGCTCGCCGACCAGCCGGTTCTGCAAATGGTCTTTGACTCCCTGGGATTCCCTGGGAGCTAAGATATTTCCATAATGCTCACTTAGACTTCGATGAAATGCAAAGGGGACACCCTTGTCCCAAATGATGGTTGGGTAATTCCCATTCCGGAAAGCTGTACGCCTTTGACGTGTATTCGCGCCTGCCACTATTTGAGAGAGAAGAGCAGTAGGTAGACGAATATCGCCTTGGAATAGAAGGTCCCTGAAACGAAATCCGTGATTACCCGAAGTTAAGCTTCAGTCCAATTTTCGAGTTGTCAATCATCCTAAAGATGGATTTGACTATCGCCAAAAACCCTGACCCTTCTTATTTCCAATTGAGTTTAATAACTTGTTTAATACCAGTTTGATACGAAGACGGTCAATTGTTCGCTATTATCCCGATAAGTCAAAGGAATGATATCACCCGAATCGCTGAGAGGGCATCGCCCTGCTAGCATCGTATATCAGAACTGGAAGGGATATCGATAGCGATGATAAGAGACTAAGGATCAAATAGCCTGCGTCACTTGCCAGGATTGAACTCATGACTATTCAAAGAGGAGCTCGAACTCAGTGGATTGAACTCAACCCACTAAGTTCGACTCCTTCCTGAATAGCCTTGTTCCTTATAACCAGAAAAGACAATTTCTTTCCATCTTCACAGCATAAAACTCTATCATTCCCAATCTACTAGTAAATCAGAGTAATTGTGTATGAGGGCTCAAAGGGAGGACCCTTCCTGTTTCCCTTCTCCCATAAAAGTGCTTGTCACAATGAAGAGCTATTATGGGAAGGTAAAAAGTACCAGGAGCATTAGAACTACATAAACTTGGGAAATTTTTTATGGGAGAGGGGAGTCTCTGAAGTTAGGGCATCCCTTTCCAGAGAAATTTGCTGTATGAAGCTGAATCCATTGAAAAATATGAATAATCTCTCACGAGTAGTTCTTGTTCAACTGCGCGATGCTGGGTATCCGATAGGTCGGTTTGGGAGGTATACTAGCTTCGTCCTGTAAATACACCTCGAACTACCAGTGTCAGCGGAAGATTTATTCTGAGAATAGCTTCTTGGCAACCTACCGATCCGATGACATTGTCCTGGTACTCGCCCTCAACCAATGTGGAAAGGACATCACGCAAGGCGTACTGCTCTTGAGGATTTATCAAATCCCTCAGCTGAAAAGTTCATTATTTGACACCGAATTAGGTCTGATGAGTGCGAACTGACCGTAGGATATTCGGTTGACG